TTTAAATTTAAATATGCCCATGGTAAGGTATTTAGAATGAAGCTTATATTTCTATCTTTCTTGTGACATATAAAACTCTTACGTTTATTAAGGAATCTGTGTGAAATAGGCATGGTTCTGAGATGAATGCTGCGGTTTTCGAGCTCGACGAGCAATGAAAACTGCCCCTTTTATAAAACTACAAATATCTTCGGTTTTACTTAAAATATTTGTCTGGTAGAGGTTTAACATATAGTTCGCGTTTTTGTCTTTCTTCTGACTAATAAATAATTTTGGTTTAATAAGTCATCAAGATGTTTTCAACAATATTTCACATGTATTTCATGTGAACAATGTATTTCAACAATACAATACAACAAATACACACATTGGTACATTATTGCAAAGGCACTATATATATATATATATATATATATATATATATATATATATATATATATATATATATATATATATATATATATATATATATATATATAAATTGTTGCAAGTCGAGCAACAAATATTTTACATTGAACAACAAATGAGATTGGAAAAGCAGTATTGCCACCTCTGCTATACAGAAAAAAATAGACCCCAGACACACCCTATGGGTAGTAATGGACCCCCCATACCGACACTATGAGGGGAAGTGGACCCCATAATAACACTATGGGCGGTAGTGGGCACTATACAAACACTATGGGCGGTAGTTGACTTCATAGCGACCCTGTGGGCGGTAGTGGACCCCCTGCCGACCCTGTGGGCGGCAGTGGACTCCCTACCGACCCTGTGGGCGGCAGTGGACCCCCCCTACCAACCCTGTGGGCGGTAGTGGACCCCTACCGACCCTGTGGGCGGTAGTGGACCCCATACCGACCCTGTGGGTGGCAGTGGCCCCCATACCGACCCTGTGGGCGGTAGTGAACCCCCTACCGACCCTGTTGGCGGCAGTTGACCCCCTACCAACCCTGTGGGCGGTAGTGGACCCTTTACCGACCCTGTGGACGGCAGTGGACCCTATATACTAATCCTGTGGGCGATACTGGACCCTATACTCATCCTGTGGGCGGCAATGGACGCCATACACATCCAGTGGGTGTTATTGGACCCCATACTTATTCTGTGGGTGGTTGGAGCCCCATACCCATCCTGTGGGTGATAGTGGACGCCATACTCATCCTGTGGGTGGTATTGGAACCCATACCCATCCTTTGGGTGGTTGTGAGCCCCATACCCATCCTGTCGGTGGTAGTGGATTCCATACACATCCAGTGGATGGTATTGGACCCCATTCCCTTCCTGTGGGTGGAAGTGATCCCCAAGTTTGCAGTAGTTTACCCCATAAACATTCCACCATAACATCATTTTCTGTTAGCGTTCCTACAAAACATTCTTTAAAAATTTTTAAAGCGCAAACTATGGTATATAATATTGATTGGTGAAGCACTGTTATTCTATGTAATAATTTATAGTGCTTATTATAATTTACTAAGAACAACTAATATTTCTCAAAACAAAACTACGAGCCTTGAATAGGAAGTAGCTGATCTGTAATATTCTAAGAGCATGGACAATAGTAGGTAAATTTCACAACCCATGTGGGACCTGAAAACTACAATTTTCATTATAATTGAAGCAATGACGACTATTCAGCTATCTACGTTGATGGACGGGTACTGTGAGACGTAAATTGGTACGTGAGGAAGAGTTTGGGCCTTGGTAAAAAAGGTAACTGGAAATATATCACATATGTACTAAATCATTATTCAACATATTGACTATAAGCATTAAGTCATATATGTGCTGTCTTGTGTGAGAACGGGTTGTGGAGAGAAGGGACTTCGTGACAAATCGACAACATGGGTTCAGGGAGGGTAAATCTTGTCTGACTGGCTTAATAGAATTCTATGACCAGGTAACACAGATTAAGCAAGAAAGAGAGGGCTGGGCGGACTGCATTTTCTTGGATTGTCGGAAAGCCTTTGACACAGTACCGCATAAGAGGCTATTACATAAGCTGGAGAGACAGGCAGGTGTAGCTGGTAAGGTGCTCCAGTGGATAAGGGAGTACCTAAGCAATAGGAAGCAGAGAGTTACGGTGAGGGGTGAGACCTCCGATTGGCGTGAAGTCACCAGTGGAGTCCCACAGGGCTCTGTACTTGGTCCTATCTTGTTTCTGATATATGTAAATGATCTCTCAGAGGGTATAGATTCATTTCTCTCAATGTTTGCGGACGATGCCAAAATTTTGAGAAGGATTAAGACAGAAGAGGACTGTTTGAGGCTTCAAGAAGACCTTGACAAACTGCAGGAATGGTCGAACAAGTGGTTGTTAGAGTTTATTCCAACCAAATGTAATATAATGAAGATAGGTGCAGGGAGCAGGAGGCCAAATACAAGGTATTATCTGGGAGAGGAAATTCTTCAGGAGTCAGAGAAAGAAAAAGACTTGGGAGTTGAGATCGCGCCAGACCTGTCTTCTGCAGCACATATCAAGAGGATAACATCAGCGGCATATGTCAGGCTGGCCAAGATACGAACGGCATTTAGAAATTTGTGTAAAGAATCATTCAGAACTTTGTATACCACATATGTCAGGCCAATCCTGGAGTATGCAGCCCCAGCATGGAGTCCATATCTAGTCAAGGACAAGACTAATCTGGAAAAGGTTCAAAGATTTGCCACCAGACTAGTACCCGAGCTGAGAGGTATGAGCTACGAGGAGAGACTACGGGAGTTAGGGGGGACATGATCACCACATTCAAGATTCTCAAGGGAATCGACAGGGTAGATAAAGGCAGGCTATTTAACACAAGGGGCACACGCACAAGGGGACACAGGTGGAAACTGAGCGCCCAAATGAGCCACAGAGATATTAGAAAGAACTTTTTTAGTGTCAGAGTGGTTGACAAATGGAATGCATTAGGAAGTGATGTGGTGGAGGCTGACTCCATACACAGTTTCAAGTGTAGATATGATGGAGCCCAATAGGCTCTGGAACCTGTACACCTGTTGATTGAAAGTTGAGAGGCGGGACCAAAGAGCCAGAGCTCAACCCCTGCAAGCACAACTAGGTGAGTACAACTAGGTGAGTACACACACACAAGCACACAGACACACGTACCAAACACAATCTAATAATACCCTTTACTGTGCTCCTCACGTGGTCAGGTCAAGCAGGAAACATTCACCATTTTAAGCCTTTAGCCAGATTATCTTTTAAATAGATACCTTTAACTACCTTTCACCCAGCGTTACGACGGTCTAACCACCTATTCCCCCCCATTCCTCACCATAACGAGTCACCCTGGGACCACTGCTTCACCCACTCCTCCTAAGTAACAATATATAATTATGAATTCTGCTGTGGTTTTGATTTATGATTCTTATGTCTATATTTTTCTATTTCTATAGTTTTATCTCGCAATTTCTCTTTCATATTTTCTCGATTTTTCAGCATTTATTTACTGTGTTGTGGTTATATAGTAATTGTTTTTATATAATGCAGAAATATTAAGATTCGGTGTAGTGGGAAGTCGGATCCATCTGTATGCAAGAGTTTTCATTTTGGTCAATTCGTATAAAATGTTCAGGACACATTTTGTGAGAGAACAAATACCGCGTGGCAGTCACGGGAGGAGGATTTTCTTTTAAATTATCATGAGAAAGCGCTAAGCCATTACGACTAAATAGCACTTGGAATGGATAATGATAAAGATTTGGGAAGGAATGACTGGAAGGAATGGAACCCAACCACTTGAACGGTTGGGGATTGAACGCGGACCTGCATGAAGCGAGACCGTCGTTCTATCGTCCAGCCCAAGTGGAGGAATGAACCACCGCTGGGGGAGTGATCTCTCTGATCGCTGCATTTGCTAGTTTGTTTGAATATATTTATGTCATTTATTCAACCCGTTCGCTTATGATTTCCCAACGTTATGAAACTGTCGTACTAAGGTGACCTTATCCTAACCTACAGAAGACCTAAAACAGAAGACGGGACAGTACGTTAATTTCACGAGCCGCTACCATCTTCCAGTACGACAGTGTTGGCCTTAGTATACGTCAAAAAGAGACGTTCTATTAGGAGGACGGGTTGAGTTATTACGAGGATAAGTAATGACCTCGTTCCATGACCCAATACAACAAAATAAACATGACACATAGACAAATAAAAAATAGTTAATTACATACTCCTAAGTGAAGCATAGTTTTTATATGTAATTTTTTCTTAGTTTTGTAAATAGGCTTATATTAGGAGGCTTGGATTGGCTTATTAAGGCGTAGGTAGAGAGGGAGCGGCAGTGAATGAAGTTAGAATTCGTATCAGATTAAAAAAATTTATTTATTCTTCTACGCATAAAGATTATAAGTCATATCTATTTAATACCCGTGGTGAGCCCGTCATGACGAATGGGCTCCATTGAGAACAGCCCGTCTTCGTCATTTTTACCAAATACTCGTAAAACCATTAGATCCCCCTCTCCCTCCTCTGCTTAAGAATAAAAAATACTTCTAGTTTATTTCTACTTATAGAAAAATATCTCTTAAATAAGTTCTATGTGTAGTTAGGCATAAGTTAGCTTAGTGGTGTCAGTCGATGTATGGACGAGTCTAGCCTGAGGACGGGATGGAACCGCCTACTGCAAATGTTCCAATACAAATAGTTGTCACCAGAATCAAAATGGCCGACCTTCCCATTGGGTAAATATACGCTAAACTGAAAAGTTCCTTGAAGGCCATTTTACTGAAAAGTTCACTGCAGGACATCAAACTGAAAAGTTCACTGCAGGACATCAAACTGAAAAATTCACTGCAGGACATCAAACTGAAAAGTTCATTGAAGGATATCAAAATGAAAAAATGGGCTTTTTAATTGAACAAAACCGAAAAATTTAAGAATACGCCATGTGAACGGAGGATCATTTGAAGACGGCTAGTACAGTCATCTGGAGGATAAACCCTTCATGCATACTGCAAGTTTTCCATCAAGAAGAAGCAGAAGAAGACGGGTACCGATGGGGGATGACGTCGGCAGTAATGGACGGGGCACCTGCAGTGCTCCAATAGAGTCCTACACTGGCACCTGCAGTGTTCCAGCAGAGTCCTACACTGGAACCTGCAGTGCTCCAGCAGAGTCCTACACTTGCACCTGCAGTGCTCCAGCAGAGTCCTACACTTGCACCTGCAGTGCTCCAGCAGAGTCCTACACTGGCACCTGCAGTGCTCCAGCAGAGTCCTACACTTGCACCTGCAGTGCTCCGGCAGAGTCCTACACTGGCACCTGCAGTGCTCCAGCAGAGTCCTACACTTGCACCTGCAGTGCTCCAGCAGAGTCCTACACTGGCACCTGCAGTGCTCCGGCAGAGTCCTACACTGGCACCTGCAGTGCTCCGGCAGAGTCCTACACTTGCACTTGCAGTGCTCCAGCAGAGTCCTACACTTGCACCTGCAGTGCTCCGGCAGAGTCCTACACTTGCACCTGCAGTGCTCCGGCAGAGTCCTACACTTGCACCTGCAGTGCTCCGGCAGAGTCCTACACTTGCACCTGCAGTGCTCCAGCAGAGTCCTACACTAGCACCTGCAGTGCTCCGGCAGAGTCCTACACTTGCACCTGCAGTGCTCCCGCAGAGTCCTACACTGGGACTTGCAGTGCTCTAGCAGAGTCTTTCACTGGTAACTGTAGTGTTCCGGCAGAGTCTTACAGGAAGTGACGATCTTCTACACCCCGTGTGACGTATTACGGGAGATGAAGTGACGAGGACGAGGTAGGGGAGGTGTTAGATGATGTGTCCAGGGAGGTGACGGAGGGGGCTAATTATGATAGGACAGGTGTCGAGAGGGTGTTGCGGGGGTTTGTTAGATTTATAGGATAGGTGGCGAAGGGGGTGGCGAAAGGATTAGACGGAAAGGCAAATGTCCAGGGTGGTCAAAAATATGTTAAATAAAAAGGACACGTGTCCTTCCTAGAACTAATCAAAACAATACAGCCCGATGGATTCATTGCTTCCCTGGACGTCGAATTTCTATTTACCAACGTCCCAGTCGACAAAACCATAAAAATGATACTGGACAGAGTATAAAGAGCAGAGCACCCTCAAATTAGACATAACCGAGCCACACTTGAAGAGTCTTCTCGAAGCATGTACAAAGGAAGCTCCTTTCATCAGTCCACAAGGAGACATGTATTTACAAATAGATGGAGTAGCAATGGGCTCCCCCTTAGGAGTGTTATTTACTAATTTTTATATGGAAACCATCGAAGACAGAGTCAGAGTAGCAGATAAAAACCAACTGTATACTGCCGTTATGTAGATGACATATTCGTCTTAGAAAAAGACTCAAAGACTCAGACGAACTAATTGATCTAAAAGGCCATCTAGAGAAAGAGAGTCAGTACTCCGATTTACACATGAAAATAGTGAGAATTACAGTCTGCCGTTCTTAGATGTACTAATAACAAAAACAGGAACCTCTTTAAGCACCAACGTATATACGAAACCTGCCAACATAGGATTATGTCTGAACGGTAAGAGTGAGTGCCCCAAAGATACAAAACCTGTGTCCTCAATGATTATATTCGTCGAGCGCAACGGAGTGAATGGAGCAACGTGAGTAAAGAGTTAGAAAGAATAACTCAGGTATTGGTGAACAATGGATATAGCAACACGGAAATAAACAACGCTATAAGAAGACACCTGGACCGATGGTACAATCCTGAACCTAGAACAGAAACCACAACACCTCCTATAAAATTATATTACAAATGAACTATGCACAGTGAATATAAAAAAGAAGAAAGAATTATGAAGGAAATATTTCATTAAGGAGTAAAAAACACTATTCCTAACCAAAACATAGACCTGATCATATTCTATGAAACAAAGAAGACATTAAAACAGCCCGAAGGCGACGGAGAACCCTCTACAGCAATCAAGCGTTGTATACATGTACACTTGCCCCCACGAAGGATGTAACCTTCAATCTAAGTACATAGGAATGACGTCGACCAAGCTGACGAGGCGTTTGACCTGTTATCATCAATCCGGTGCCACCAGGAATAACATGATACAAGATCATGACATCACCCTAACAAGAGAAATGCTGAATAAAAACACTTGTATAATAGACAAAACCTAAGATGTAAGAAGATTACAAATTCTTGAAGCAATCCACATAAGAATAGAACAACCTACCATGAATACCCAAATCACGGAACTATTTACTCTACCCACCATGAGAGTAAGGACAAGACAAGAACATAATGACGCCAACACAGAAGACACTGCATAACATAATAGGCCTATTACACCAGATTAATCTTTGTATGTGCTTCGTCCCCTATTATCCTCTATTTATCCCCTGACCATTTCCTTTATTCTACTTGTTTTCTCACCTGACCCCGAACTAGTATACATCTAACGAGATCTGTAATTTCTTATTACTTGAGAATGAACCATGAAGGTTCGAAACATTGTGCGATTTTATAAGTGTAATACTTTCTTCAGTTATTCAATTCTTTTCTTCATCTTGAAAACAACATGACTTTTGGTGAACTCCTCTTCCAGCTGAACCTTCATGCAAGAGCATTATTAAGAGGGATAGAAACCCTAAATCAAAAAATAGTAAATTAGGAATATGCTGTCATATTCAATGATTATATATATATATATATATATATATATATATATATATATATATATATATATATATATATATATATATATACATATATATATATATCTATAACTGAAAACTCACACCCCAGAAGTGACTCGAACCCATACTCCCAGATGCCACGCAACTGGTATGTACAAGACGCCTTAATCCACTTGACCATCACGACCGGACATAATGAGGTGATAGCCGAGGCTATTTGAACCACCCCACCGCCGGCACTCGGATAGTAATCTTGGGCATAGCATTTTACCAAATCACCTCATTCTTTGGGGCACACGTGAGGAACACAAATGCGAACAAGCCTGAATGGTCCCCAGGACAATATGCAACTGAAAACTCACACCCCAGAAGTGACTCGAACCCATACTCCCAGATGCCACGCAACTGGTATGTACAAGACGCCTTAATCCACTTGACCATCACGACCGGACATAATGAGGTGATAGCCGAGGCTATTTGAACCACCCCACCGCCGGCACTCGGATAGTAAGTGCCGATAGTAAATCGGTGGGGTGGTTCAAATAGCCTCGGCTATCACCTCATTATGTCCGGTCGTGATGGTCAAGTGGATTAAGGCGTCTTGTACATACCAGTTGCGTGGCATCTGGGAGTATGGGTTCGAGTCACTTCTGGGGTGTGAGTTTTCAGTTGCATATTGTCCTGGGGACCATTCAGGCTTGTTCGCATTTGTGTTCCTCACGTGTGCCCCTAAGAATGAGGTGATTTGGTAAAATGCTATGCCCAAGATTACTATCCGAGTGCCGGCGGTGGGGTGGTTCAAATAGCCTCGGCTATCACCTCATTATGTCCGGTCGTGATGGTCAAGTGGATTAAGGCGTCTTGTACATACCAGTTGCGTGGCATCTGGGAGTATGGGTTCGAGTCACTTCTGGGGTGTGAGTTTTCAGTTGCATATTGTCCTGGGGACCATTCAGGCTTGTTCGCATATATATATATATATATATATATATATATATATATATATATATATATATATATATATATATATATATATGTCGTACCTAGTAGCCAGAACGCACTTCTCAGCCTACTATGCAAGGCCCGATTTGCCTAATAAGCCAAGTTTTCATGAATTAATTGTTTTTTCGACTACCTAACCTACCTAACCTAACCTAACCTAACTTTTTCGGCTACCTAACCTAACCTAACCTATAAAGATAGGTTAGGTTAGGTTAGGTAGGGTTGGTTAGGTTCGGTCATATATCTACATTAATTTTAATTCCAATAAAATAAAATTGACCTCATACATAATGAAATATGTAGCTTTATCATTTCATTAGAAAAAAATTAGAGAAAATATATTAATTCAGGAAAACTTGGCTTATTAGGCAAATCGGGCCTTGCATAGTAGGCTGAGAAGTGCGTTCTGGCTACTAGGTACGACATATATATATATATATATATATATATATATATATATATATATATATATATATATATATATATATATATATATATATATATATATATATATATATGTCGTACCTAGTAGCCAGAACGCACTTCTCAGTCTACTATGCAAGGCCCAATTTGCCTAATAAGCCAAGTTTTCATGAATTAATGTTTTTTCAACAACCTAACCTACCTAACCTAACCTAACCTAACTTTTTCGGCTACTTAACCTAACCTAACCTATAAAGATAGGTTAGGTTAGGTTAGGTAGGGTTGGTTAGGTTCGGTCTTATATCTACGTTAATTTTTACTCCAATAAAAAAACATTGACCTCATACATAATGAAATGGGTAGCTTTATCATTTCATAAGAAAAAAATTAGAGAAAATATATTAATTCAGTAAAACTTGGCTTATTAGGCAATTCGGGCCTTGCATAGTAGGCTGAGAAGTGCGTTCTGGCTACTAGGTACGACATATATATATATATATATATATATATATATATATATATATATATATATATATATATATATATATATATATATATATATATATATATAATCATTGAATATGACAGCATATTCCTAATTTACTATTTTTTGATTTAGGGTTTCTATCCCTCTTACTAATGCTCTTGCATGAAGGTTCAGCTGGAAGAGGAGTTCACCAAAAGTCATGTTGTTTTCAAGATGAAGAAAAGAATTGAATAACTGAAGAAAGTATTACACTTATAAAATCGCACAATGTTTCGAACCTTCATGGTTCATTCTCAAGTAATAAGAAATTTTTGATGTGTAGAGCCTCGCAGACGTCAAGCCACCTGCTATCGCTGTATCTATCGATGATTTCTGTGTTGTTTACTAGGATTTCTCTGGCGATGGTTTGGTTGTGGGAAGAGAAGATGGTTTGGTTGTGGGAAGAGTATCTCTTCCCACAACCAAACCATCGCCAGAGAAATCCTAGTAAACAACACAGAAATCATCGATAGATACAGCGATAGCAGGCGGCTTGACGTCTGCGAGGCTCTACACATCAAGAAGTCAACACCAGCAATCAACAGCCATTTAATACACAACTATATTCTACCCACCTCAAGACTCCGCTCCCATATAGAAGCATCAAGAAATATGGACCAATAGGCTTTCTACAAATCACTTCCATTCAATACCCATTGTTTCGTGTTCTGTCTTGTGTTTAGGAATTTAATTGCCTATTAATACCACCTCACCCCAACCACCTCACTCAAATGTAGATATAAACAAATCGAAGATGTGTAAGTTCTATTCAGTTGTGTATGTGTAGGCTAAAGTCTTTGAAAATGTAATAAGTTTTACGAAACGCGCTCAAGTGTCGCGTCAGACTAGAAATAAAAACGAATTTTGGAGAATTGATTTTTGAATTACCACCAACAGTGAAAAGAAACGTACGAAAGATCGAGAAAATTCGTGTTAGAATTATTAATCTTACTTTTTCGGTCATATTTAATAATATATGTCTACAGGAAAGACTGCTACCAAAATATACATATATATATATATATATATATATATATATATATATATATATATATATATATATATATATATATATATATATATATATATATATATATATATATA